ATATCTATATATATATATATATATATATATATATATATATATATATATATATATATATATATATATATATATATATATATATATATATATATATATATATATATATATATATATATATATATATATATATATATATATATATATATATATATATATATATATATATATATATATATATATATATATATATATATATATATATATATATATATATATATATATATATATATATATATATATATATATATATATATATATATATATATATATATATATATATATATATATATATATATATATATATATATATATATATATATATATATATATATATATATATATATATATATATATATATATATATATATATATATATATATATATATATATATATATATATATATATATATATATATATATATATATATATATATATATATATATATATATATATATATATATATATATATATATATATATATATATATATATATATATATATATATATATATATATATATATATATATATATATATATATATATATATATATATATATATATATATATATATATATATATATATATATATATATATATATATATATATATATATATATATATATATATATATATTGTCTTTATTGATTTTAGGAGCTTTTAATATGCACTTTAGAAATCAAAATTCAAAATACAAAAAAATAATAATAATAAATAATGATTTTTCAATAGTTTTTAAACCAGTTGCTTGCTGTTGCGTGCGTTTTTCCCATTAGTCAGTCATGTCTTTTTTCATTGTCCAATCAAATGAAAGCAGAGGCGGGTTTCTGCTGATCATTTATTGCATATTGTTTGTGTTGTCAAGTCGACAACGAAGACTTTTATAGATGGACAAGAGACTAGTGGCCGATGTTTCGAGTTATCCGGAGCTGTATGACTTCACAAATCGTGAATATCACAATATTTTTAATATATTACAATACCAGCAGCAGCGCCCGCGCACAATACGCAGCTGATTCAGTGGTTGCCTAGCAACATTAAATTCGCAGCACACTTATTTTTTTCTTGTCAACAAAAAGAGGCAGAGCGGTGCACCTCCGAATGCTTTCGATAAACATCGTCCCTTAATTTGTAAAAAATATACACAAATTAATAGTTTTCTGTATTTTGAGATTTATGTTTTCCTTTTCTTCGTTTTTTGAAGCTTTTGAAATGCATTGTGGGAAATTGATCTTTACTCCAACAGCTTTTGCTGTTAAGAAAGTTTTTAAAAAGTGTCGAAGTTGACATGTTTTGTAAGGCCCAATCCCAATTCTATTTTTGTACCCCTTACCCCTTCCCCTTGGCCCTTGTGTGAAGAAATGGGACACCACAACACCTCCGCACGTCATCATATGTCCTCGCGATCTGTAGCTTCATATGAGATTGATGATCATGACTGCTGTTGTTATTCCAGTTGAGTTATTTTTTGGTATTTATCTTCAGAGAATCACTGAAGGCAACGATATCATGTTATCATAACGATATAAAGGTGGCAATAAGCTCGTAACTGTACTGTGTATTTACACTGTGGTCATATTCATCTATGTAAACGCACCAAAAACAATATTAACATTATACCAGACACTGTAAAAGGGTCATTCCCAGCCACTACACTTTTCTGACAGGGTATTCAGGTGTCATCGAGTGACAGAATGTTGTGGGACATGCGCTTGTTTGTTGTAGAAATTCGTAAAACCGGATGGTGTTCACACTGTAAATGCATTGTTAGTGCAAAGTGAATGCTGATGTTGTGATTCATACCTGGGTTTGGTTGGAGATATTCTGTGGTTTTAGTTATGAGTTCAAAAACAGACTTGTTGGTGACTTCTATTTTCTGTAAAGGTGGGAAAAGATCATGTGGATAATGGTAAATATGCTTCTCACATACTGTAAATCACATTAAGAAAGAGGGGATCATTTGTGCAGTTCTCACCCGCTCCATTTCCATGAAGTCTTCATCGAGTTTCGTCCCTTCCGCACCACTGATCTTCTCACTTAATAACTACATAGAGAGAAAGAGAGAGAGAGATGGAGATATTAGATCAGGGACAGGAAGCAGTGATATTAGGCAATGTTTTCCTGTGCACACAATACAGTGGTCGGAAGAAAAAATAAATCAATAATGAGCTTCTATTGTGGCTTACAGTGAAGAAACGATACCCGACATCACAGATCCAAATTTAGCTTTTGTGTAAAGCCTGGTTTATACTTCTGCGTCAAGTGACCGGCGTAACCAACGGCGCATGCAACACGCGTAGCTGTGCATTTATACTTCTGCTCGCTGTCTCTGTTGGTCTGCATTAACACTTTCAAAACGCTAGTTGGCAGTGAGGTGTTAATGTGTCTCTGTGTCGAGTTTCTAGTTTATATTATATTATATTATTTTTTATTATTTTATATCATATTATTTTATATCATTTTATATTATATTATATTATATTATTTTTTTTTATTTTATATCATATTATTTTATATCATTTTATATTATATTATATTATTTTTAATTATTTTATATTATATTATATTATATTATATTATATTATATTATATTATATTATATTATATTATATTATTTTTAATTATTTTATATCATGTTATTTTATATCATTGTATATTACATTACATTACATTATATTATATTATTTTTAATTATTTTATATATAATTTTATATAATTTTATATTATATTATAATATATTATATTATATTATATTAGGTCCCACTTTATATTAAGTAGCCTTAACTAATATGTACTTACATAGGAATTAATAGTTTGCTACAATGTACTTATTGTGTAAATACATGTTTTTACTGTGTACTTTTGTTTGATTAAATACATGTTTGTAATTACATCTGTAATTAACTTTTGTAATTACATTTGAAAATACACTGTTGACCATCCCATACACCTTAACCTACCCTTAACCTACCCATGCCACCAAACCTGTCCATAACCCAACCCCTATCCCAACTCAAAAGCACCACAAGTGTTCTCAAATACATTATAAACACAGTAAGTACATTGTATTTATTTTTTTGATGTAAGTACATAGTAGTTAGGGACACTTAATATAAAGTGGGACCTTATATTATATTATATTATATTATATTATATTATATTATATTATATTATATTATATTATATTATTTGATATTATATTATTTTGTTTGATATTATATCATTTTATATTATATTATATTATATTATTTGATATTATATTATTTTGTTTGATATTATATCATTTTATATTATATTATATTATATTATATTATATTATATTATATTATATTATATTATATTATATTATATTATTTGATATTATATTATTTTGTTTGATATTATATCATTTTATATTATATTATATTATATTATATTATATTATATTATATTATATTATATTATATCATTTTATATTATATTATATTATATTATATTATATTATATTATATTATATTATATTATATTATATTATATTATATTATATTATGGAGGGGCATCTGCTGTATAAAACATTTGCCGGAATAGTTGGTGGTTCATTTCGCTGTGGCAACCCCTGATAAATAAATGACTAAAGGCTGGTTTATACTTCTGCATTGAGTAAGGCAAGATATTATATTATATTATATATATATTTTTTTTATATTATTTTTATAATACTATATTATATTATATTATAGCATTTTATATTACATTATATTATATTATTCATTCATTTTTTTTTGTTGGCTTAGTCCCTTTATTAATCCGGGGTCGCCACAGCGGAATGAACCGCCAACTTATCCAGCAAGTTTTTACGCAGCGGATGCCCTTCCAGCTGCAACCCATGTCTGGGAAACATCCACACACACATTCACTCACACACTCATACACTACGGACAATTTAGCCTACCCAATTCACCTGTACCGCATGTCTTTGGACTGTGGGGGAAACCGGAGCACCCGAAGGAAACCCACGCGAAGGCAGGGAGAACATGCAAACTCCACACAGAAACGCCAACTGAGCCGAAGTTCTATATTATATTATATTATATTATATTATATTATATTATATTATATTATATTATATTATTTAAAAAATGTATCAAGCTGTTTTTGTCTTTAAAAAACAAATGTAAAAACATAAAACTAGGCTAAAGAAGTTGTGATTATGCAACATTGTCTTTGAGTGTTTCCACTAAAGGAAATGCAATTATGTCAGTATGTGAATGAACTACACATGGTGTCACAATCTGCAAATGGAGCTGAACATAACAATTCAGAGTAGTTAAACCCCAGCATTAATCACTAAGAGGATTGCCATCTCTCACATAGCAGAAAGAAAATTAGGTTAAAAATCTTGCCAAGTATTGCTGGTCAGTGCGCACAGATTGGAAAAAGTGCAAGATGACATGAAATCAAGATATTTCAGACAAGATTTTAAATTGTCTGGCAAAATTACTGTCTGACACAAAAAAGTCCAACACAGATGCATGCATGGTGAAATGAAATAAATGTTTTTGTACAGCACATATAGGTGAGGAAAAACTATTTTTGTTTGTACTTTTCATATTTTTAGCCCTTAAAAGCAGGTGTATTTACTGTAGTGACGTAGCTTCTCTGAGAAGTGCTGACAGCCTGCTGTGCTTTCGTGTGCTAACAGTTTAATAGTTAAACTTCCAGCATGGTACAAGCATCAGTAAAAATCCCTCAACTGCCTTAGAATAACACAAAAAGTTGCTGTTCCCTACTGACTGATTTCACTTGCTTAATATTCACAAGTGAAATACGGTAATGTGTCAAGAAAAAAAAAAAAAAATAAACATTTTACTATAGGGCTGGATGATATGGCTAAATAAAAAAACATTCGATTTTTTTTGTTCAGGTAAACACTATTTATTATGATAAAAATATTTTTTTTCCTATAAAAGACTTATATTACAGGTCATTTATTCATTATTTTTGTACACACGGTATGACTCTACCAACACATAAAGATACCATACAATGATTGCAGATACAGTGGAGAACACATCATGTTTTTTCCTGGGAATTATTATTTCTAAAGGAGCTGTTGACAGGAAATGGAACCAGATTTTGGTAAAAACCCAAACAATACAGACATTAAAAAAAAAAACAGTTTGAAAAATTAGTTGTGTAATAATGACACAAGGAGAAAGTGCTGAACTACAGAAATGTATTTAACAATTTATATAAATGACTTTTTAAATGATGGCAGCTTAAAGACGCCTCTCATTTGGAGAATGAAGTCACATGCATTGCTCAGGTTTGAGGTTTTTTTTAAAGTGAAAAAATCTTGATCTCTTGAAAATAAGACTAAGGGCTCTATTTTGACAGTCCATGCGCAAAGTGGAAAGCGCAGGGCGCAAACGCCATAAGGTCGTGTTAAAATCCACTTTTGCTAATATAAGGATGGAAAAATCTGCTTTGCGCCATGGCGCATGATCTGTAGCAGGCGTCACCAATCCTGGTCCTGGAGGGCCGGTGTCTCTGCAGGGTTTAGCTCCATCTTGCCTCAGCACACCTGCCAGGATGTTTCAAGTGTAAGACCTTGATTAGCTTGTTCAGGTGTGTTTGATTAGGGTTAGAGCTAAAATCTGCAGGACACCAGACCTCCAGGAACAAGTTTGGTGACCACTGATCTAAAGGGTTGAGCTTATTTTCTTAATGAGTTATAGGTGTGTTTTGAGAATAAACCATTCAGAGTCTCATCTCCCATTCCCTTTAAGAGCCAGCTGCATCGCGCCATAAGCGCATTTGGTATTTACATGACGTAAAGTAAGTGTAAGTGGAAAAACTAAGCATTTCACTACGATTCTGCCAATTATATTTTCAAGTTCAGGAGAGAAGAAAGGGCGACCGCACGAGTCTTTTCATTGTTTACATACGTTGCTCAGTGACATGGACAACTCCAAATAATGTTGAAAGAGTCACATAATGTATTTATAAGGTATAATTCACCTAAAAATGTCATTTTTGTCTTCATTAAATGATGTTTTCGCGGCTGGGAAATCACACGTGACGTGAGCTGCTGACAGTGAGCTGTTATAGAGAGGGCGGGCGCTGCTCTACTAAGTGATAGACGCGCACGCGTCTACTTTAGTGGATGGAACTTGCAAATGTTGTAAGTAACAGGTAATACAGTTGTAAATAATATTCAGTTTGTGGCACAGAGTGATGGTTTGGGAGCCGCGCGTGAAGTATGAACAGCTCTTAGCCCTCAAAATGAAACCGAAAGTGTGCACTTCATTTAAATGATCATATCGCATTTTAAAGTTATGATTACGACAAGCATTTAATTAGTTTTTCTTTCATAGCGAACAGAGTTGTGCATGAAAATAAATGTTTACAGTGTCAGTATAACTACTCTAGCCTATATATTGTTAAATATAATCTGATAATGACAAATGTCTGATTTTACCAGTGAGTAAAATCGTCTAATAATGTTGTCAATGACAAATTGTAAGCACGTCTTAAACATAATAAATCAACATCAGAATTATTATAAGTGGAATAGAATTATTTATAAAAAACCAGTAGACCTACACATAATATGATTATCGATGTTGTGCCATATGTTTGTTTTTACCACACCTTTATTTTACATCTACAGAATCGTGAGAAAATCGTGATCTTTATTTTAGCCAGAATCGTGCAGCTCTAATTTAGCGTTATCAGCAACAGTAGTTGTAGCAGTGATTTTTTCACTGAATATTTCACTATTTATTTTTATTCAGCTGATATTTCTTCATTTTATTTTTAATAAAATTACAGGTTCTAAGATATGTTAGTTAAAACTAAAAGTGTCTTGCAGTGCTGTGTTTGTAGTAAATGGAAAGCAAATCACACGTGCCGCCTCCTCTTTCTGGCTGATCCAAAAAAATGGTCAGATCCGTGACTAAAAATCCATAACGTTATCCGAATTGTGACATTTGTCATCTCTTACACCACTAATATCAGTGCATCCTGAAAACTGACAAGTTGATTAACTGCTTGATAGATACT